ATAATACAAAGTGAAAGGCTTTATATAAAATATAAATATATCGGGGCTTGGCCTACAGGAATCAGTACCGCAGTAGTAGACCATTAAAAATATTGGATCATAATACTTGTACAATTTATATTGACTTTTTAAGCAATATATTCTATCATTTTGAGTTAAATGTGTTACAAACAAGTACCTGGATATTAAACGTTAAATCACACATCTAATGTTTAGGCATCAGGCATATATTAGATCTTACAATTACCACTAAGAAGCGTAATTAGCTTTGAATTATATTTAATACATTTCTGACAATAAGCCGCAAATCGACTTTAGCAGAAAATAACACAAGCTGGCAAAATTACTTGCAAAAATACTTATATAATCTACACATAAAATAATCTACAGATAATATGCATTTCGAAAAATACAAAAAAATAGAAAAACATATTTTTTCGAATATCGAGCTATCAAGTCTTACGGTTCCGACGTAGAACTTTCTTAGAATATGAATTTAGCCGTGCAATACAATCATAGAAAGAATAATATCTATTGTAACAATACAATAACGCCAGCTTTAAGAATATGTTAAATTTGACAGCTTCCATGTCGTTTGGTGAATTGAGGTCGACATCAAAGATAGCATACTTAACCTAAAGAAAGATGAATACACGCGGCATTTTCTGGGAAGTTGCCTTTAAGCAGAGAGATCTTATTCACATATGACTGAACTATATGTGGAAAGCGCCATTAGCCATGGGACACAAATTAAAAGAATTCAATTGAAAGTTTAAATTTCATAATATTCACAAAAAATTATACATTTGTCTAAATTCAAATCAAAAACGAAAACGCTTTGCAGATATGTGACAATGGTGAAACTCGTAAATGATGAAAACATCTTGTAAAACAGAATGTTTTCTATAGTTTGACATACCGTCTGCTCAACAAATTTTTCCTATGGCAGCTATATGATGTGATGGTGCGATGTTATTAAGATTATGTATATATTTAGTAGTGAAACCAATAAATATCGAGTTTGGGTAAGATATCTTCATAAAAAAATGTGTTCCATACAAGAACCTAGTTTTCGACAGATCGTTTCTCCGTTATACCATATGTATGCTAGCCAGACGTAAGAAGAGTTTAAAGATAATAGCTTAAAAACTGAGACTAATTCGCATTGGAGCAGAGTGACGGAAAGACGGATTGACGGACAGTCGCAGATTCTGATCGATAATATATTCTATATAGGGTCGATGCAGGGAAAAAAGTTAATGCCGAGTATGGTTAAGATATTCTGAAGAAGAAAAAGTTTTTCATACAACTTAATTTTCTACCGATCCTATGGCAGCTATATGATATAGTGTTCCGAAGTTGATAGGATTTTGTACTAAAGCTAATAAATGCCGAGTTCGGTTAAGACATCATAATAATCGGCTGTATCTGTTGATATATACGTGTCCTTCTATATGTCCTCCTTCAAAATTATAATACCCTCTACAAGAATAAATATAGGACATCATTTTCTTGGTTTTTTAGTAAACTATGTGCGCACTAATCTGTTTTTCAGTTTAATAAAAACATGTTTTAGTTTCACATATAATAGTATCCTTTTACCTTAAAAGCCAATACATAGCCTATACAATGCGTCTCGCTTACTCTACTTGTGGAGAAGTACTCGCGCATGAAGCACCATAATCAATACTCTCAACACCAACACTCGAACACTCGCACTCACACAAACACATCATTAATGTGAAGAATCTGATAACCGCAATCCGCAATCCCCAGCAAACTGTAATGAAATAGACAAACAAACAATTTAAATTTTTTTCAACTAATACGCAGCCAAGCGATATTCTACAACAACAACAACTAGAGAGGTTATACAACCGGGGACAATTTTTCAATTTCTCAATTTCGTATGCGTGGCGTATTTAGAATACAATTCGATTAGAAATGCTTCACTTTTCGAAATAATAAATTAAATTTGTTGCTTTCTACGCCTGCTGCCCCATTGCCAATGCCATTAGCACAGTCTACGCGCTTGGCGGATGCTTGGGGGAATTCCTCGGAGTGAGGAAGTTTAAGCAACCAGCACAGTTTCTTGACGGGGTGCAAAAGGTTGCGAAATTGCGGGGCTGGCAGACAGTTGGGAAATTCCTGCGGCAACCGCCTGGAAAAAAGTGCGCCGCATGCGACGGAGAATCAATTTCCTGCAAAACCGAAAGCCGGCATTGAGCCTTAGTCCTGGGCGCTTTCTTAAAATAACAAAATTACTTTTTATATGCAGCCAAGTCAGGATACAGCAGCAGCAGCAGCAACAACAAGAACAACAACAGCATGCCATTGACAACCATTAATCATGGACGCCTGTCAGGGCGGGTCACAGGCTGGGTGTGACTGGATGGGGGTAGTCATCGTCGCCGTCGTCGTCGTCGTAGTCTGTCTACTGATTGTCCTGCGCTGCAATGTTGTGTTATATTTTTTCCTCTAAACTTTGCCTTTTACATGCTAATGCCTGGCACTGGAGCTCAAGTCATGCTCGTACCCATGCACAGACACGCCCAGCTGCGAAATTGACAGGCAAACCGAGTGCGTTGTGACATGACACTTGCATGGGAACCAGGGACACAACCAGTAGCCGTACCACTACCAGGACGAGGCGCTAGCCGTGGTCGTGGGCGTGCACAGGCTGAAGGCGGCAGACAGGCAGGTTATGTGTACCATCATTAGACGTGGTCCGTTTGCCACGCCCGTCTTGTTGCCCACTGCAAATTGGCAGCTCGGCAATGGACGGTCATGTCATGTCACAGGCTCGAGCAGCAGCAACGGGCCTTGATGGCCGTTCAAAGTTCACTACGAAAGCCAAATTCCAATTGTCAAGATGTTGCTGCACAGCCCAATATGTACGCCTGTCTCTGTGTCGATGCGTGTATGTGCCAGACATGTCTAATTGCTCAGTTTATGAGGGCTGCATGTCATAAAGTGCAAATGCATGCCACCCCGACTAAAAGCAGGCAACAAAACTTGCAGCAAGCAAGCTGCGCTGCTGTTTTGGAGCACGGCCGTGATTTGTGTGTGATATTTGACATGCATTTTCAATTTAGCCGTAGCTTTAAGAGATGCCTACCCGTCCAATAATGAATTCCATTCATTTTGTTTGTCTGCCATCGTCCTGAGCAAAGTTCAGACCCCACAAGCATCGTGACAGAGAACCCCCCCCCCCTGCCCCACACTCTGCCCGCTTACTTGTGCAGGACATGATAAAACTTTATGCACTGCAACGACCAGCATTGACATTTCAAGTGCTGCCGCTTCGCTCGATGGAGGCTCCTCGGAGGAGGTTCACCAAGACTGGCGCCATCAGAGAACATAGTTTTAATAATGCACAAGACGACGACTCCAACGGAAAGTAGCATAAAATGCAGGACATACGAGAGCTGCGATGCGATGGCAACGGCGGAGAGCACAAAGATAAGACCCGGACCGTCCAAGTTCCGCCCAAGCACTAGTACAGCCAGCCAGCAACAAAAACAAGGTCCCCGGGTAACAGAAAAGGTGGCAAGATCCAGCAGCAAACATGGATGGGCAATGCTACTGTGTCTATTCGATGTCAAAATGAATACTTTTGCATTATTTATGCCAGCGCATTTATTTGTTGTTCTGATAACGAAGTGAAAATAGCGCAAAACTCGATGAATTCTTTACAAAGTCCAATGAGAAATGGCAAAATGACACAGCTAGCTTTAAGAATCAAATACTTTAGTAAATGGTATTTTCTTTTAATAAATGTATTTGATTTGTCGCTTAACCTCATAGACACAAACACAATACTACTTCAATTAAAAAATATAATTGTCAAAAGCAGTCCTCGGTACATAAGCTACTTAAGCGACCCACGCATCTCAACAAGAAGGATCCTGATTTCAGCCTAAGGCCATAATTAGACAGCGCTTTTTACAAAATTGAGTTAATAGTTATATTCCTTTATAATCGTACGTTTTTTTGAATAAATGTGGATATTTTTATATATTAATTAAATGTATACATTAATTAACTGTCTAAGCAACTCTGCCTTAACTAGTCTAAGGAGTGACTTAGCACCAAAATCTCTTCAATGTTGGTCAACAACGTATGTCATGCATGAACCATTGAGAAATAAGCATTACAAGGTGAGCAGTTCAACTCCACATATAGTATATTATGTATTATGCTCAACGTAGTGTATAATGATTTTTATTCTCCGCAACTTTGTGTCATATATATAAGAATGAGCCCCCTCGAAGGTGGGAGCAGAGAATTGAATACGCCTTAACGGAAAAGAACAATCAACTTATGTAGGAAGCCAACACCGAGGTTGACAATTGGAGGCTGATCTAAGCGTTCGCACTCAAGTCGCAAACCATTTTTAAGGCAGCCCCAAAGTATGCCGTATATTATGTGACGCGAGATTTAAGAATAAAAAAAAGTAAGAGGCGGCAGTTCTCGCTAGGGGATACCCTGAACCATCTACTAGCAACACCAAATGCAGCTGGCGTTACGAGCGCGTTTGCTTTAGCAGTAATAAACATAAATTTAAAAATAAATCTTCCTAGAAAGGATTCGAGCTCTTAACAGGTCACACTACTTGCAACACCCATACCACCAGTTAGAATTCTGGATAAAAAAAAATAAAAAAAAAAAAGTTGATAGATTTGAATAAAGACGCTATGAATGTGTGTGTGTGTAAATATCTTGCAATTTGGAATTGATGGCGCTCGTGTTTGTGGGCAGGCAAAACACATATTCTTTAATCATTTTGAGTTTCTTAACCCATAGACAATTGCATTAAAAATGTGACTTTAATAAGTTGTATAATTAGTTGATTTACAGCTATGTGGTGAAAGCTAAAAAGTGAAAGATACTTTGATATATACTATTATTCAGAAAACTACACGAAAAGTTGTATGCATAGTTCTCAGAAATTCAATATATGATTTTCAATGCACTCATTGATTTTATTTAATACATTTCCTCTTGACACTTTTTGATCAAATGTCTGGAACTGGAATTGAGTTGGAATTTGGTTGAGTCATCCCTGAATATGAACGTTCTACTTAGTAATACTTATTTACAACATTAACTGGTAGAAAATACATTCTGATAGTGTGCATTTTTAAACAGGATAGATGAATCCCAGCTTAATAGTTGCCTCATTCAATCTCAATTTGAGTGTTCTCAAAGATATAACTTTATTATGACAATGTGCCTGAACACATAGATCCTACTCGCTAAAGAATGGAGAGGGTCGCACTTCTATGAGGCATTTGATTCTTAACTACAGTTTAGCTGGTTATTACAGATGCTACTCAAGCAGCAGAGCCCATGATTCGCTACGTCATAGACACATTCGAAGCAGTCAAGTATTTGTTCCTTTGCGGGCACAGACAAGTGCACTTCACACACCCACAGTAGCTGTGGGTATGCTGTGGGACAGCGACCAATCTCAATTGAGTCAAGTAGCTGCTGTTGTTGCTGTAATGCTTAGCTGAAGAGGATACTTGAGCAAGAACACATGCGGCCGCCCAGAACCCTCGAAAGTCGTTTACTCGTTTTGAAGGAGCTGCGTTCCTCCGCTATATCTCGAAGGTTTCATTACCATGGACTTATATACTTATAGAAATTACACAGAACGCTCCACAAACTTGAACTTGAAGGGTATGTTTGGTTTCACAAAGAACTCTGTCTTGAATGCGTTCTCAATCGGATAATCGAAGCCGACTTCGAAATTCCGCACCAGCCTGGCAACGGCAATCTCCAGAATCATGTCGACAATGCGCTTGCCAGCGCAGGCGCGCGGTCCAAAACCAAAGGGTAGATACATGAAGGGTGTGGCCGTATCACCCACAAGGTTCGAGTGGGCCTCATCACGTAGCCAGCGCTCGGGTAGGAAATCGCGCACTCGCGGCACAAACTGCTCCATGTTGGCCACCTGGTAGTTGGCAGCATTGGCTACATCCGTACCGGCTACCACACGATAGCCACTCAAGACCACATCGCAGGGCATGCGGCGCAAAGTACCGGGGCCAATAGGATACATACGGATGCCCTCCTTGATGCAGGCACGCAGATAGGGCAAATGTGACATATTGTCCATGGTCAATGATGAGTTTTTATCGGGCAGCACACCCTTTATCTCGTCCAGTAAACGGGCCTGTTGTGCAGGATTTTTGGCCAGGCAAAGGAGAATGCCGGTCAGACTGACAAGGGTCTAAAAGTAAAAATGGAAATCTTAGCTATTACACCAAAGAGTTTTATATCGATTACTAACTGGATCCACGCCGGCAAAGAACAGATCCATGGCAATAATCACCGCTGTCTTGCGATCAAAACGTGCCAGCTTCTCCAATATACTTGTTTCTTGACCTGGCTCAGTGCTAAAACGTCCAGCCCTGGCATCCTCTTCGATGCGCTGCAGCGCCTCTTGTATATGGCTATAACAAATATCTGCGATAGTATCGAGGGAACCTATGAGCTTCTTAAACTTGGGCATTGGTAGATACTTCCAAATCGGTGGCATCAAGTTAAGCTGAAAGCTCAGATCAACAATGTTTTCCAATGCATTGATCAATTGTTTCGCCTCCTCACTCTCCCGGTTCTCACTCAACAATCCGAGGCGCGTGTTAAGCGCCACGGAAGCAATGGACTCTAGGATTAAACGGCGAATATCTTCGCCAAAGTCAGCAGGCATCTCTTGAGTTTCTGGATTTTTAATCGCTCGTATGCTGCAAATAGAAAGTCAGGCTAACAGTCAGTTTAACACCACTTGGAGTCTGAATTTACCGCGCCAGAAACTCATCATTGACCCTCAGCAGATTGTTTATATATAACTTGGCATTGCGCGGCTGCAACAGAATCGGATTTACAGCTGTTCTCATCTTGCCCCAAGCAGGTCCGTTGCTGTACACCAATCCACAGATATCTCAATTGCAGCAAAGAAGTTTTCCCGTATAACTTACCCTGAAGTAAGACCATCGACACCCTCAAATAAATCGGGTCTGTGAACCTTCTTGAAATACTCAAATGTTTCGAAACCAAGCCGATAGGGAAACTGTCCTTCGTTGCGGAAGACCGTCTCATAATCAACAGGGTTCATTGTAACGACAAGATCAGATCCAGCAAGACCTGGCATGCGAAAAATGTCTCCATAGCGTTTCTTCATATCCAAAAACATATCATGCACCGGAACATTCCTATAGCGACCTGTGATTGGTCATTGATTAAAAACAAATTTACAACAAAAAAGGTGAGCAAATATACAAAAAGAAGAAATAAAGAGAAGAATACTAAGTAAAAGCTTTAGATCTCTTACCGCCTGGCAAAAAAGAACAAATCAAGTTGAATTTATTGGGACCGGGTAGCTCCGAGAAGGGCTTGGCTTGGTCCAAAGGCGTGGCATCTACAGCAGCTGCTGTGCCTTGCTAATAACATTATGAATAAAATACAAGTTCGGGTAAAAATGATGGATTTTCTTATATTTGTACTCGCCTTTGTAGCAAACGACCTCTCAGCTTGAAGAAAGCGAACACATAGATTTTGGGGCCCACACAACTGTCTCGACAACATTTTGCCTACTGAAGCTCTCAATGTTCAATGACTATATGTTTCAATAATTAGTTCCCTCGGCCTCACCGTGCTGAGCGAGCTTTTACAAGCTTTTCGTTCTCCCAGCGTGATGCGATTTGATTAGCTGTTCTTACTCTCATATATAATTTTTTTCGTCGCTTTGGAACTTTTTTGGAACAGGCAAATTTATTGAATAAAGCTTTGAAAGCTCTGATCTACAAACTATGTTGATACATTGGTACTCTTTGCTTTATCGGTTATACACTCGTTCTGCGTATTATATATAGTATAATAATGTCTATTTGAATGACTTGATTAACTAAGCTTTTTATTCTAATCAAGAATATTTGTACTTTATTACACACATTTTTTGCAAAAATTATCAGATTTTCAAACATTTCCAATGGGTTTGGTAGTAAAAAGTTAGAGAAACATGGTTCTTGGGAGAACGCTTTTCTAGTTATCTAGTTGCTCAGTCTGATTTTATCCATTAATCTTCATAATTTAACGCAAACTACATTTACGCTTCTCTTTAGAGGTGTTTTACAGTCCTAGTGTCTTAGTGTCCTATGAAGTCCCATTTAGTCCTACCAAATCAAGTGTAGCAAAATTAAAGATTTAAAAGTTGTAGTATTTTTAGCTAATTACATTGTCGTCTCTTAATATTATGCATACGCGTCGTTTCACTTTTCACTTTCAGGCTTTAAAAATGTCTACCTAAACAAGAGAAACGAGCAAAATTTAAGCCTGTCACTGGCAGAGCTTTGCCAGTCAGACAAAAGGCAATATCGCAGCTGACAGAAAATCTATATACGATAGCAGACAAACGGCTATAATAAAATCGATTTTTTATGTTTGGCCACTGACAAGGGCACGTCGCATTGGGCATTGGGACGCGTCTCGTCCAGCGGGCACATAAATATGAGCACACACACTACGACATACACTACACACACATATATACAGACAGCGGCCACAGACACGCCAACTGATGATGGGCATACAAAAGCTGACCTCGACTTTGAGCTGTCAAAGCCAAAAACTAACTGACCTAAACCAACAAAAATCGACTTTGCAGCCTAAACACAAAGCTGAGCATGACAGCCCGAGCGGGAAATGGGGCGGTGCCGTTGGGCGTTAAAATACAAAATATCAGCATGACGCAATGATTTCCGGCAAGTGAAAATGAAACCTGTTGGAGCTGACTGGCGGCTGTGGCCTTAACGGGCTCGACGGCATCGCTGCTGCTGCTGTTGGCAATATAAACAAATTCAATTTGACAGCTGACAGCGACAACGGCGGCAGGAGCAACAACGACAACGACAACAACAACAGCAACAGCAACAACGACAACAACAGTATCCGCGACACACATACAAACAAAAAGCCGCAAGTAATAAACTTTTACGATCTGTTTTACGGCAACGCGGCACGTGCAACTAGGCCCGGAACGTTGCCGCGGGGGCGGCAGCATAAAAGGGGGCATGGTTCGTTGCAACATAAATTTAATGAAGCCAAAAACGCGGCACGACAACAACAACAATGCAGACACCATAGCAAACACAAAAACACAAACGCACACACATATGCAGCAAGGGACAGAGGCAACTCCGCAATGTAGGCAATAAAAATAAAATAAAAGTAAATTGTTCAAGGACAACAATATTTTATGCTATTATTCTACAAACGCAGCACAAGCACTGAGCGACAGCATCAGCCTGTTGGAGAAAGAGAGCGAGAGCGACAGTGCGATGGAGGGGGAGGGAGAAAGGAGAGGGAGAGTGAGAGTGAGAAAGAGAAGCATTAATGTCTGCCCCCTTCTTATGTCAGCAAAGATTTTTCTTTTTGTTTTGCAGCGAAAAATTTACAAATTTCGCCGCATGCCTCAGCTAAAGGGGGTTGTTATCCTCTGTGTCCTGCTGCCGGCCCCGTTGGGCATTGGGTACGTCTGCGTCTGCGACACAAAAACGTCAACAGCACTCAAAAAGCATTCGCGTCTGCTTGCTGGCTTCTGTCCTTGCCGTAATGCCATTGATGGATGATTCTTTTGCCGGAGAGTGCCGAAAAATAAAAGCACTAAAACTTGCAATTTGTATGGAATACATCAGCAGCAGACGCAGCCGTTGCCGTTGGCCAGAAAGAGGCGGCACGACAACAGAACCTGAGTTATAGAAAGCCATAACCTGCACTCTCTCTTACGGGCAAACACAGTCTCTGTGTGTGTGCGTGCGTTTGGGGCGCGCTTTATGATTGCCAGGCATAAATAAACGGCAAAAGCACCCCAATGACGGCAAGGGTGTCCTGTATCTGTATATATATACTGTGTGTGTGTGTGTGTGCTTGTGAGTATGCTGGCAAAGTGCACTTCCTGTGTCCTTTCAGTGTTTTGCCACCAATTGCTGCCAGCTACAGCAGCAACAACACTAACAACACCAACAAGACTGCGCAGCTTGGCTCGAGTTCACCTGCTTTACATTGCCATTGCGGCGTTCTTTTCGTCCTGCGCTTTTTCTGCTGCCGTTGGCTCTGTCAACGCCGTCGACGACTGGATAAATGTGTATCTACAGAAACAGGGATTCTGCCTTTGTATATATGTGTATGTGGGTCTGTGTCGCTAACTGCTCTGGGTCCCGGGATCTGGATAGATGTCTGCGCATCTCCTCTCTGTTGCCTAATGGGTATGTGAATGAATGTCTATGTGTGTGGGCTTGTGTATGTTAAGCAAAAGTAGCAATTCATCATAGAAAATGGCGGAAGTAATCGTCTCTTTATGGGGGTGTGTATGTGGCTAAGTGCGCGTGAGTGTTTCTGCTTGTTGCCGTATTCTGCAAGTCGAGCAGAAATTAGAATTTTACCCAAATCTGCATGCTTCAAAACATATATATGTATGTTCGCATAAAAATTTGATTCTAAGCCATATTTAAATATTAATATTATTATAATATTATTTTGCTATAAGTAAGGAACCCGAATTCTAATTGCTTATAAAAAGAACAGCCAATCCGTAACTAGAGTCGAACCATATTTTAAAAATTTGTTTCACGAACCTAACAGAACCAAAGGGATTTGATAGAAAATGGAAAATTTGTTGGATATTAGCAATAATAATAATATAGAAATATTATATGATCTGATTCTTTAAATCATATACAAATATTTTATCTTTCCTTATAATTTAAAAATTACTCTTAACATATAGGGCTTGCTCCCGGGCATTGCCCAGGGCAAGATTTTAGCTTAGATGTTAATCTACTTTTACTGCTTTCAACTGCACGTCTAAAGTTCCACATTTATTTAGATAAAATGCGCATTTATAATGTTTTTTTGTATCGTTTTTTTATTAAGAATTTTTGTAAAGATAATTTCAAATTAGTTTGAACCCAAAACACCCCCCATATCTTTGACCGCCTTTTCCGCCCAGGGCCTTTTCTTTTAGGGAATCCTTGCAGACCTCGTTGCAATCTTCAATTTGTGGACCCTCATAAGTTCAGTCTTCCTGCATACTTTCATCCACAGCAATTTTTTCATTGAATGATTAAATTAAGTCAAGAAAACTCTAATACTTATTTTAAGCCAAGAGACTAAGACATTTTATTGGAGAAATAGAAAAAAAGACTTGTCTTACCCAAAAAAAGGTCAAGAAGTGTAATTGTTTTGTACAAATGTATGCAACAGGCAAAAGGAAGCATCTCCGACCCCATTAAGCATTTACATTTAGCAGGCCGACGGGCTGAATCGATCTAGCTAAATATTAGAGACTTGAAACCTGAATATTAAATATTCTTCTATATCTTACGCAAGTAAATATTTTTTTATCGATATCTCGTACTTCGTTTTGAGGCATAACTCAAAAAATCTCTCTCGTTAAGCCTACGAAGACTATGAATATTTTACAGTTTACCTTAAGTAAAAGTTAGAGAAAACCTCTTGTCTTGGTATATACATACACGCCTTTGAATGCCAATTTATGCCCCAAAGGATCGATCAATAAAACTAATCACAAATGCATTCTTATAGTGTGCGGCAGCTTAGTAGTGTGTAGTACTAGTACTAATACTCCTGTTAGTTGGACTGGCAACGCAATTGTAATCTCTTGAGACTATCAATTGCCAAATGGCAGACTCAACAACCAAGGGAAATGGCCAATCCATTTCGATTGGCTTGAGGACTTGCTATCAAAAACATGTCTAGAGCGTTTACTGCCCGAAAGGAACATGAAAAACGCATCTCCTATCCATTTAAAGCCGCAAAACGACTTTGCACATTTGATAACCCAGCGAACCAGCAATCCGCACATTCCCAGAACCAGACCCTGAACCAGAACCAGGGCCAAGCCATCGAGTTTGGCCCCACGAGTCGGGCATTTAGTTAATTTTAAATGCTTATTAGCGCAATTTACAATTTCTCACATGGCATCGAGCCCTAAAAGCGAAATGCCAAAATGAAGTGCTTTCGGGGTGGGAGGGCCATAAACAGAAACAAGACTAGACCCAGAGAATCCCGACATCATAGACACTTTGGGGCAGCATATGTAGAGGCTAAATTATAATTTTATTATCATTACCAACGGCGAGTGTCTTATCACCAAGTTTTACGAGACCACAGATCGCATACAGGTCATGTTTTGGCTGTTATCCTTTCGAAATGAAAATAATCTGTGGCTTAAAGCTTTTACGATGCGTTGACGACATCGTCGTGGCTCGCATCTCCGGTCGTCGCTATGTCTGCTCGGGTTTATGTCCCTTTTATACGCTTTTTATGTTTCATTCTAACCTCGATTTAATTGTTTAACCGGTGACAATCATTACCCCAATGCCAGTTAGAGCCAGTGACAGTGCCAACATCATCAACATATGTACGCAACAGTAGTCCGAAGAGTTTTACGACTCCAAGGAGCTGTCAATTTGATGTCCTCAATGCTCCATTGACAACACAGCTGCCTGGCAAACAGGGCGCGCAGGCGACCATCCTTGTAATAAAAACATGAAGATTACGCTTTA